CAGAGTGTCAGGATTACAGGTGTGAGTCACTACCCCAGCTGAAAAAGTTACTGTTATTAAAAACGTAACAAAATTGACTTAGTGCCTATAGCTCAGTGAGTAGGGCGCCACATATACCCACGTATACCAAGGTTGCGGGTTTGAGCCTTGCCCATGCCTGCTAAAGAACAATGACAACTGCAACCAAAAAATAGCCAGGCACTGTGGCAGGCACCTATAGTCTCAGCTGCTCATAAGGCTGAGGCAAGAGGATTGCTTGAGCCCAAGAGTTTAAAGTTGCTGTGAGCTATGGCACCATGGCACTCTACCAAGAGTGACATAGTAAGACTCCGTCTCAAAAATAAATAAATAAAAATATAACAAAATCCTTTTTTGATGATGAGTATTGTGAGGGTCTGCTTCTGACACCACTTGTCAGGGCCCAGGACTGGCCAGGTCTCAGGCCGGCTTGAGTAAGGTTCCGGATGCGAACTGCTAAGCTACCTTGCTCAGGAACAGTTTCTTTTAGTTGCCTGAGGGCTATCGACTTTAGCTGGAGAGAGAGTGTGTGTATCTCAGAGAGAGTAAAGCAGTCTTCTTAGAATAGATAGCTCTCAGTCTTTAGCAGAGCTTGGTAATCTTCAGCAAAGAGACGCCACCATGCTGGCGCTCTGCAGGCAGGAGAGGAGTCAGAGTCAGAGTAAGCGTCTCCGTGATAGAATGCGCATGCCTTCTGTCTGCCTTCTCCTCCAGCCTAATATAAGGCTGAGCTCATGCCTCTCAACACCACAAATGTAGAGACTGCCAATTCACCAATGCTCTCATCTCGCAAGCTCTCTCATACTTGTTAGAACTAAAACTCTCTCCATGCCCTTTTCACCAAGGTGTTCCATTACAGGTATTTCTTATAACTCTCACTCCTCCTAGCCATAAGCTATATGGGCTGCTACAGAGTATAATTACACAAAATAGAATACAAGCTAGTGTTGTAAATCCCACATAACACTTATAAATTATTTGCTTCAAAATAAATTTGGAATTTATACCTTTATCTTGATGGCTGTTAGTTGTCCCTAGGAACTGTAAATCAGAATCCACACTGCCAGTTTTACCACAAATCTGTGAAAATCTATGTTGTCCACATTTCCCAGGAAGATTTGTCTGATGAGTTCCAGTAGCACCTTTTGAAGGAAAGAGGGGAAAAACACAAAAGTTAATTTCATGAATACATTTTTTTTCCACAAATGTTGGTATAATCTGAGTAGGAATAAACTTATTACAGGAATATAAGTATGGTGAGGCAGGCAGGCAGGCAAAAAAGGGATAAAGCTTTTTTTTTTCTTTCTTGAGACGAAGTCTGATTTTGTCGCCCTCAGTAGAGTGCCTCGGTGTATGTGGCCAGCACCATGACCACTGTGTTACGGGCGTTGAGCCCTATCTTGCATTTATAATAATTAATGTTTGCTCCTCTCCTCAATACAATATATAAGCTCTATTAGGCAGATCCCTAGCACTAAGAAAGGTATCTGACACATAGGAGATGCTCAATAAATATGGGTGATTTATTAAGCAAGTATTATTCTATATTACTATTTAATGAATTTCAGTGAGAAACCTTTCCAGGCACTGACGAGATAATAACATCAGAGTGTTAATTTTTTATCAGATCTTCAATAAACTCAACATATCCATTACCATGTACTTACCAGCAGCACATACAGGAAGAGAATCTGAGTTAAAATCCCGACTATTTTGAAATAAATTTCGTGACACTCTTTTTCTGCTAAAACATAAATCATCATTGACTGGCATTCCTTGAGAAGGCTTTAGTTTTAGAGATGGGATGAAATCATATGCTGAAAACTGTAAGAAAAATAAATTAGTAAGTTTTAAAACTACATGGTAATAAATATGATAAAATAACATATCCTGTTATGAAACCATGATTATAAGAAAAAAATTTAGCTTATCAAATATATAATGAAACAAACATTCACAGTTAGTCAGATACACTAAAAGTGCGGTTCATTCTAGGACAGGCACGCTAATTTTGTCTTTCCTACCACTTCACCCAACCTCGTTCTCTATCTTATTCTACAGTATACATCTGGCACCTATTAATAATAAGGAGAGAATACCAATGATAAAAGGATGAAATAACAACCGGTCTGAAGAAAAGAACATCTGACTCAGCAGCACAGCCCCTCAAACTGTGCAGTCTGCACATTAGAGAATAAATGCCACCTGAAGGCCACTGACAAGCAAGCATTTACTCTTCTATTCTTACTGAGGCAAATCGATTATCTATTTGCTGTAGCCCAAATATAAATGTAAAAGACATGGTAACCTGTTTTGTAGTTCTATTAGAAGATTTTCTTTTATAAATCTTAGTTATAAGCAAGTATATAATACTTTATATATCTCTAGTTTCCAAGTCCTTTTTCATAAACCACATATGATATTTAAGGGACAAAAATGCAGGATATAATTTGAAGTTATATATAATCAGTTAAAGAACTAGAAAATGAAAGCATGATTCAAGTGTTCAGAATTCTGGATTAATGATGACCTCCATTGTTCTGGAATGCTTCACGCTCAATATGGCTACACAGCATTTAAAAAAATGAATGGTGGCTCGGCGCCTGTGATTCAAGTGGCTAAGGTGCCAGCCACATACACCTAAGGTGGTGGATTCAAATCCAGCCCGATCCCAAACAACAATGACAGCTGCAACCAAAAATTAGCCAGGCGCTGTGGTCCCAGCTACTTGGGAGGCTGAGGCAGGAGTTGGCGGTTGCTGTGAGCTGTGATGCCAAAGCACTCTACCCAGGGGGACAGCTTGAGGCTCTGTCTCAAAAAAAAAAAAAAAAAAAAAAAGAATGGTGATTATAGGTGGCTCACACCTATAATCCTAGCACTCTGGGAGGCCGAGACCAATGGGTTGCCTAAGCTTATGGGTTTGAGACCAGCCTGAACAAGATCAAGACCCCTTCTCTAAAAATAGCTGGGCACTGTGGTGGGCACCTGTAGTCCCAACTACTTTGGGAGGCTTAGGCAAAGAGAATCACTTGAGCCCAAGAGTTGGAGGTTGCTGTGAGCTATGACACCAGAGCACCCAGGGCAACAAAGTGAGACTCTGTCTCCAAAAAAATTAAAAAAAGTAAATAAACTGAGTAAATTGACAAGTAATTATAATTACTCTGTATATGTTTATTTGGAACTTAAAGACAAAATCAAATCTACACATGTGGTGAATTATAAGCCTTGTCAGTATGCTTCTTTGAGAACTTTGCCAAGTATAAAACTGGCACAATAAAATTAAAAATCTGTCTACCTGAAACTTTCTTAGCCTCTTAACTAGCATAAGGTAAGACTATAAATATCAAATAATGATGAGAACTCACTATTCCTCATCAAATTTTGTGGAAAGCTAAAGTCCTTCAAAAATTAATTCAGAAAAGACAAGTGAGAATAAAGAATGCCCAGATGAAAAAGAAGTGACTACTTTCTCAAAATCCACTGTTGTAATTCCTATGATTGATTATATAGTCAGTATTAAAAAGATACAGTAAAATAAAAATGAAACCAATTACAGTCAATTTCTGATTAGATACATTAAAAGAAGACGTTAACACAGCTAATAATTCTTCAGTATGAAATACACGTTACATTAGATTTACTTTGTAATTAATTTCTACTTAGCCAACACAACATGAGTATATACGCCAAATACATACAATGAGTAGGACTGGAGATGGTGATGTGCACACTGGTTCTTACATATTTTTACATTACATATTTTTCATTAAAAGATTACGCACACATACTCCTATCATTCAAGCTTTTGACCTAATACATCTTATTTTAGCTTTTGGCATAGGATATCGAAATATTTCAAAAATTGTTCTAATTCTGTTTTAGTCGAGTTAGTAGCAAATGACTAATTCTCACGAAAATCACCTACACTCCTTCCTTTACTGAACTCATACTAAACTTCATCTTGACCTCCATTTTTTGGACCTTTTACCTTTTATCAGTTTATTCTGATTTTACCTGGACTCCAACCTTGTCCCTTAACAGTGGCCATTAAAAATTTATCTCCGGGCTCGGCGCCTGTGGCTCAAGCGGCTAAGGCACCAGCCACACACACTTAAGGTGGCAGGTTCGAATCCCCAGCCTGGGCCCACCAAACAACAATGATGGCTGCAACCAAAAAATGGCCAGGCGCTGTGGCGGGCACCTGTAGTCCCAGCTAC